TATGTGAGCCTCCCAGGTGATCTGTATCAGAAATGTCCCCTGCATTCTTGAAAATAATATGCATTCTCCATTTGTTACATGTAAGGTTCTCTGTCACTTCAAATTTAGCAACTGCTCTGTCACATCTGAATTCTCACAAATTTTGTGTTTTTTTTATGTGTTTCATATTATGATCATAGGAGACTTAACTGTGTATTTGTCTCTGTAATTTGGTTAATTCTGCTTTGTATAGGGAAAGTTTTATTATTAGGTGTATGCACACTTGGATGCATGCCTTGTTTTTGTCCAGTTTCCCAAGCTTTCAGGAGTTTGTATAATTTCTCCAAATTTTTTCCAGTAATTTTTGTAAATCTTTTACTATGACTGAAAAGTCTTAACATCCTTTGAAGGGCCAGTAGAAGCATTAGCAGTTAATTTCAAACGTTTTGGCATCTGAAAAAGCACTTTGTGGATTCTATACACTGAGCTGGTGCAGGTGCAGTAGGAGAAGGGCACAGATTTGCATCACCCAGGCCACTTCCCACCTGGAGCCCAGGACCTGTGCTTCTCAGTGGTGGTTCCCATATCCTGGGCGGAGGCAGGAAGCCTAAGCCAACCAGACTAAACATTTTTCTTTCATGGCAGCTGCTGGCTTTGATGCCTGAGAGGAGAGGATCTTCTGGTGATAAGAAAGCTTCTTGTAACCGGGTGCTGGTGGCTCACACCTGTAATCCTAGCTACTTAGGAGGCTGAGATCTAAGGACCATGGTTCAAAGCTAGCCTGGGCAGGAAAGCCCATGAGACTCTTATTTCCAATAACCCACTAGAAAACCAGAAGTGGTGCTGTGGCTCAAGTGGTAGAGCACTTGCCTTGAGCTGAAGAGCTGAGGAACAGCGCCCAAGCCCAGAGTTCAAGCCCCACGACTGGAAAAAAAAAAAAAGCTTCATGTGAATATCCATACTAACTGTATCTGGTGGGCTCAGAGTCCTAGAATGTTATGTTTTTAGTACAAATTTGGGATCCGTGCATGCTGGTGAGACCAAGACTTGCCTGCCAGCTAATCCTGGCCTTCCTAGTTGCTCTCTTTTCCAGTATATACTTCCTAAAGATTATGTTAAGCTTTCCTTCTAATCAGGAAGCTGAACAATACAAATATCAGATCCTCAGAAACCTGAACATGTGGCTGGAGTGGAGAGCAAAACCTTAGTCAGGTATAATCCATGATTGGAGGCTCAGGAAGTCTTTGTAGAAGAGGTCAAACTTCAGGCCTTCATAAATGATGGAAAGGAATTACACTTGCAAATTGGGAGTTCTCAGTAGATGATGTGATTATCAGCTCTAAATGAGGTGTCAAATTCTAAACAAAAGAAAACGCCCTAACCAAGCCAGTCAGGGTGGCTCACATCTATAATCCTAGCTACTCAGTAGGTTGAGATCTGAGGATCATGGTTCAAAGCCAGCCCAGGCAGACTCTTATCACCAGTTAACCAGCAAAATGCCAGAACTGGAGGTGTAGCTCAAGTGGTAGAATGCCAACCTTAAGTGAAATACCCATGCAAGAGTGCAAGGCCCTAAGCTCAAGCCCTAGTACTGGCACCAAAAGTAAAAAACCCAGAAAAAGGAAAAAAAAGAAAGCTACAACTACTGTGTAAGACTAGATGCTTGCTCTAATTCTATAACTTCTTATTATAAGTGACTATGTAATTTTTATTACCCTAGAGGTATTAAGAACTCCTCTGGACTTCCCATACTGAAAACATTTTAAGGACACAGGAGTGAAAATGAAGGTGATTTCTGTGGTTATCCCCCAATGTATTCCACATGTACAAAAAACCTGTTGCACTGACTTAACAGGGCAATTTGCCTGATTAGGTTTTGTGTGTTAATGGTTTCCATACCAAACTTTGGATAGAACCAGAGTACTTAGGGTTTCAAGGGCTGCCAAAACTCACCAGAATGTCATCAGGCTTCCCTCTTCTGGCTTTACCTTCTGTAGAGGAGCTTTCTTCATAACTGGCAACATGATACCAGCAACTGATAAATGCACATCTTCAGCTTTGCTAGGTAAACGTGACTAACTGGGCCCCTCAGTTCCTGATGGCAGAATCCAAGGGGAAGGAGAATGGGGGCAGGGCTTGCTTGCAGCAGTTTTTCTCTCTGGACCTCAGATGTTGAGGAGAGAGGTTAGTGAAAATGATGAGTCCCTGTGACAGACATGGTTAGAAGGAGCCGTTTTTCTCTGTAAGTACCTAGATGCCTGACCCAAGAAAAAGGTCTGGTTTCTTTTCTCTTCCCCTCTTTCCCTCTTCCCCTAGTTGCTAGCTGCTTTTCTGACCTCTGGGATAGCTAGAATGAAGAGAAAGAACCAGAGTACTCTCTGGATCTGGCACATGTTTAAAGCAAACTCTTGGAGGGAGTTCTTGTAGATATTTTGCAGACCCTGTTCATCTTGGGGACTTTGCCTCAGTCTTGCTGCTCATTACCATAGCTCATAGGAGTCCAGGAGTACAGGTGTCTGTTTCTAGCACCTTGTTAGGACTTGTTAGCCCACTGGGTAGATGTTTTGGGAAGTTCCTAAGATAGCTCTACCCTAGCCCACTCATGCTTTTTTTTTTTTTTGTCGGTCATGGGGGCTGAACTCTGGGCCTGGGCACTGTCTCTCAGCTCTTCAGCTCAAGGCTAGCGCCCTACCACTTGAGCCACAGCACCATTTCTGGCTTTTTTCTGCTTAAGTGGTGTTGAGGAATCGAACCCAGGGCCTCATGCATGTGAGGCAAGCACTCTACCACTGAGCCAACTTCTCAGCCCCTCTTTTTGTTGTTGTTGGTGGTGGTGGTCGTGGGGCTTGAACTCTGGGCCTGGGTGCTGTCCCTCAGCTCCTCAGCTCAAGGGTAGTGCTCTACCATTTGAGCCACAGCACCACTTCCGGTTTTCTGAGTGGTTTACTGGAGATAAGAGTCTCATGGAGTTTCCTGCTTGGGCTGGCTTTGAACCGCGATCCTCAGATCTCAGCCTCCTGAGTAGCTAGTCATGCATCTCTTTCTGCAGCAGATTTTGGGAATACTGGCCTGCCCCCATGCAACTCTCTACTATAACTAGCCAGTCCATCTCACTATGTCCTTAGATTTGTCAAGTAGGAGACAATCTTGCTAAATTGTCCAGCCTGGGCTTATTTACTATCTTTCTGGCTCAGCCTCCTGAGTAACTGGAATTATGGGCACATACTACCATTCCTGGCCAGAGTTTGTCTTTAATACAGTTACAATAAGTGATATGATGTGCTACAAAGGGAATTCTATTCTTCCCTGAAGCAGTTGTGTTCTTGCTTGACTTCAGATGTTTGAGTTTACAAGGGGGAGTGCCTTCACAGGCATCTCTGAAAGGCATCTACCAGAGCATGGGAGTATTGTATGTGCTTCAGATTGAGGAATAGCAGTCACCCCAAGGTTGTCACTATGTGGAGCAAGTGACACATATCTGGCAAGTTGATAAGGTTTCCTTTCCGTGGGAGGACAAAATAAGAATGTTGGAAGAGTATTAAACTTTAAAATTTTTTGCAGATTGTGGTTTTTGTTTGTTTTCATTGAAGACCTTTTTTTAAAGGCGAGTCTCCTCTGTTTGAGTCAGAGCAAATCAGGATTATGTGAAGAGAGCATCACTTGTCCAAGGAAATTCTATTGGGAAGCAAGAGAATTTGTTATGTGTCCTAGTTGGTGTCTTCAATGTTTAAAAAGTATAATCTTTTCGCACTGTGGCATAGCTGATTGTGGAAGCCAGCAGTCTGGCTTAATTGACCTTGCAGAATGACTCCCATGCAGTACTTGGCAGCGGGCATAACTTCCCTCTCTTGGCCATTCATTACTTACTAAAGACAGAGTTCCTCGAAAGCTGCTTTCCAGCCTTTTCCATCCAACTTTTCATCTTGATATTGTGTTTTATCCTCAGAGTGAGTCAGCCAGCTAACAACTGCAATCACAGGCTACCTTATTTTCTCCCTCCCTCCACTTCCCCCCCCCCTTTCTTTTTCCTCTGTCTCTGTCTCTGTCTCTCTGACACACACACACACACACACACACACACACACACACACACACACACACACACACACACACACACACACACACACACACACACACACACACACACACACACACACACACACACACACACACACACACACACACACACCAATCGTTACATATAAGAAATAGTCCCTGGAAGTGGCGCTGTTGCTCAGATGGTAGAGCGCTAGTCTTAAGTTGAGTGAGGGACAGTGCTCAGGCCCAGAGTTCAAGCCCCACAACCGACAAAAAAACAAACAAAAAGAAATAGTTCTATGGTACTTCCATCATTTTCCTTATGCAAAATGTTTTAGGAGACACAAGAAATTTCCTTCCAGCAAGATAGTTGTGATTCTCATGGTTTGTTTTGTGAACGCCATGAACCATGCAATAGTCCTTTGCACTTGGTTTTTGCTGTGGGAAATCTTGAGGACAGATCTGTAATCCTGCAGCAAGCACATGGGACAAAGGTTATTCACCTTTGGTGATTATTGGAGATTTCCTCTTCTTAAAATCAGATATATCAGTGATGAGCATGGAAAAAACAGCTATTGTGACCTGAGGACCCAGTGGTTGTTACATCTTCACCCCATAGTTACCCTGGCTCATCCAGCAGACATTGTGCTTGGAAGAAGCAGAGATTGCTTCTGTTTTCTTTCTCCAGGATCTTTTCCATCATTTACCAATTTTTAGTTTCAATTATTACATTTATGCAGCAAGGAAATTCTAGGCCTGGGTAGCCTAGAAAGCTTGAAAAATACTCTTTTCACTTATCCTGGTTATTCACAAAATAGGTGTTCAGCAAATGTTTTGTGATTTACATATTTAGTTCTGTTATTTGAAGCAGTTGAATTAGATTCTTTTCTAAGGGCTTTCTATCCATTGGTCTAGGTTTGGGAAATGTAACCTGTTACAGCAGTGGCTTGACTTCAGTGACATTTTGTGCTTTTCTTTTTCAGAGTATGATCGGTTGGGCTTCCTCCTAAAGTTGGACTCTAAACTGTGAGTAGAATGAGAAAATGCCCTGGCACTGTGATGGTCTGTGCATGCTGGGGTCTAACTTTGCTCCCCCCTGTGGTTGTTAGAGGATTCCCTGGAGCTTCTGACTGCAGGTTATCAGCAGAATGTTGGTGCATGCTATAATCCACAGGGGCCTGGGCAAGATAGAGTGGTGGGTACAAATACAAGCTTTACATTTGCCTCACTAATGAGGCAGCTCATTAGTGAAGGAGGCCACTGCCAAGAGTGGAGGGACAGAGAAGCCCCTGGAAAAGCTCCTAGAGTAGAAGGCAGTTGAGTTACCAAGTTGTAACTCAAAGTTGGTATGGTTACTCTCCTGTTTTTTCCAGCTTCAACTTCTGTTATTCATGCCACAGATCAACCCTTCTTTCCCTTTCTTTTTGTAGGTCCTGTTACTTGTGCCTGGAATTTCCTTTCCTTGTTAGTCTACTTAGAAAACAAATTTCATTTCTTCCTATATAAAATCAATTATCTCTTTCTCTATGTTTCCTTTGCACTTTCTATTTCTGTTACCAATCATATTTCTATATTATAATTAACTTGTTATGATTACTATTTTATTAGTGTCACAGACTCAGAGCCAGTCAGATCTGTTTAAATCCCAGGTTACCAGCCAGGTGCTGGTGGCTCACACCTGTAATCCCAGCTACTCAGGAGGTTGAGATCTATGGTTGTCTGTGAGACTCTTACCTCCAATTAATCACCAGAAATCTGGAAGTGGCACTGTTGCTCAAAGTGGTAGAGTGCTACCCTTGAGTGGAAAAAACTCAGGGACAACACCTAGGCCCTAGTTCAAGCCCCAAGACTGACAAAAACAAAACAAAACAACAAAAAATCCCAGGTTACCACTTATTCTCTTTGTGATTTTGGGCAAGCTACTGAACCATTTTGAACCTGTTTCATTTGTAAAATATGACAATATACATACTTTCCAGGATTGTTAGACGGATTTAATTGAAATGGTTAACTCATAGGGGACTTTCAAATACTGGATATTTAATCCTCCAAGATTTTTTTTTTTTTTTTTTTTTTGTCGGTCGTGGGGCTTGAACTCTGGGCTTGGGCACTGTCCCTGCGCTCTTCAGCTCAAGGCAAGCGCTCTACCACTTGAGCCACAGCGCCACTTCTGGTTTTCTAGTGGTTTATTAGAGGTGAGTCTCACAGAAAAAAAAACAAACAAAACAAAAACAACAATATTATAAGAAAACCATGGGGGAAAAAAAAGAGTCTCGCAGAGTTTCTTGCCCAGGCTGGCTTTGAACTGTGATCCTCAGATCTCAGCCTCCTGAGTAGCTAGGATTATAGACGTGAGCCACTGGCACCAGGCTAATCCTCCAAGATTCTTTCCTGTTCTAGCCTTCTTGGTCTTTCTAGAGGATAGGATAGTACAGGTAAATACATGTTTGTAAGCTAAGTCAGTATACCTGTCCTTGGATAGATGGATGGATGATAGGTGGATAGCTGTGAACTTCACCATTTGGCCAGCATGCTTTGCATGGGAGTTATGTCTGCTCTATATGTTCAAACCCCACACAAGGCTACTCATGGTTAGTGCTCAATAAATGCTTGTAAAACTCTGTTACCACTTCCTATGACTTATTTCTGGGTGAAGTCATCTTTATATACTTAAGTCCCTTATCCTGATCAAGACAGATATAATGGAAAATCAGAATTGCATTTCCTTTCTTCTCTTGCATAAGGTCTTATCCATAGCTACCTTAGATGGTGATAGTAATACCTACATAAAAGCATCAAACCAGGAGCTGTTGGGTTTTAATGAATTATCCGGTATCTGTCTCCTTTTCTTAGAATCTGGTACCTCAGACTATGAGTTTAGACATGGTAACTCTCCCAGCTTTGATTCATCATAGAGTCAGCTAGAAAAGAAGAATGGTCAATTCTCTTTAGAAGGCTAGAGAAGAGATGTCAGCCACATGTTACCATCTAGGGAACAAGGCATGATTATACTAGAAAACTTCAGGCTTCACTCTTAGAAAAGTCTTAATTTAATGCTCTAGGATAAAACGATAATACATGAAGTATGAACGATAATACATGAAATGCCACCAGAACACAAAAGCCATAGTAATTACTAAGCTGAATCACATTGATGAACAAAGAACATGTTATTGAGGACATGCTAACTACAGTATTTAAGCTGTCTTCAGAAATGAGGGAAGACAGGAGGATGTGCCTGCTCTGCTGTCCTGATGGTTAAGTTCTGTAAAGACTGGTGTGTAGTTTGCTGCTGGGTTCCAGACTGGTTCCATGAACCATCTAAGTCAGCTTGGTCTTTGGCCAAGTTGTTGGCTTGCCCCATTTCATTTAACCCACAGTCTGAAGTACAAACTAGAACTTTCTTGCCTCTTGCCGCAAAGGCTTTTCCACTACAGTAGGTGAAACTTCTTCCAGGAAGAAGTTTCCAAATTGAAGTTTTGCTTTGAAGAGCAATTCCTCAGCAAAATGTTGCTGTCTCTTTGTAGGTCTTTCTCTATGTTTCATTCGTTTCTAATGTATAGGAAAGGACCTGAACTTGGATCAGATAAATTAGATTTGAATTCTGCAGCTTAGTATTAAGTGACCTTAGTACTACATTTTAGCTTTCTGAGTCCTAATTTTCCTTTGTGGAAAATATAATTAATTTTCACTTCCTGTAGTTTTATGAGGAATTATTTTTAAAGGTTCTATAAATTATGTGTAAGTGTCTGAGTGGTAACTCACACCTGAAATCCTTGCCACTCAGAAGAAACAAATCAGGAGGATCATGGCTCAAGACTAAGCAAAAATTTTTCAAGACTACATCTCAATTGATAGCTGGGTCTAGGGTGCACATCTGTCATCCTAGCTATACATGAGCCTGAGGTTGGTAGGATTGTGGTTCCAGGCCAGCCAGAGCAAAAAGTTTATAATTCTTCATGTCAACAGCAAAACCTAGTTATAGTAGTGTATACCTGTCATCTCAGCTATGATAGGAAGTATAAACAATAGACTTGTCTAGGCAAGTCCAGGCAAAAAGTGAGATTTTTGTCTCACAAATAATTAGAGCAAAAAGGGCTAGAGGTGTGTCTCAAGCTACAGAATGCCTACCTGGCAATCACAAAGCCCCGAGCTCAAATCTCAACACCTCCAAAGAAAATTACGAGTAGGTATACAAATGTATGGGTATTTTTTCAAAAAACGTATCTTCGTTGGGGTTTATTAGTCTGCAGTTTATAAAAATTTATATGTTCTGGAATTTTTTCAGCCATTTTGTTCTTTAAAAATCGCTGTGCCCCCTCTCTCCACTCATCTATATCTCTAGTACTTTTCTAAAACTGATCAAATGTTGACCCTCTCCTTTTAGCCTCTGGATCTGTTGCTTCCATGTTTGCTGCCTTTGACCCTTTCCACACTGTAATCCTGAAAAGACTCACAATAAGGAAAACTAGATCAAAATCTGCTCACCCCAGCCAGAATACAGGAAAGATGACCATAACTCCCAGTGGATTAGGGTAAAAGTCAGCAAAACAAAAGCATTTGATATTTGTTGCCAGGATTCTCATTCAGGTGATCTAGGGACTCCCAAGCCCATGAGCTCAGTATATATTGTTTTAGACTAGGCAGTGCCTCCTGGCAAAAGCAAAACATCTCCAAACTGTAATCCCTCTGTATATCACCTTTATAATAACAATAAAAAATTTTAAGAAAGATATGGATTTCTCACAGGTAACATTTTAAGGAAGCTAGCACTGAGAGTAAAAACAAACAAACAAACAAAACTAAATACACAAGGAAGTAAGCTTCCTTAGTGAGAACCATGAAAAACAATAGACAACAAAGAAAAACTCTGAAAGATTTCTCATATTAGAATTACCAACCACAGTTTATACAAATAAAAGTTTAAAGAAATAGGGGCTGGGAAGGTGGCTCAGTGGTAGAGCGCTTGCCTTGCTTGCATGAGGCCCTGGATTCGATTCCTCAGTACCACATAAGCAAAAAGAAAAAAGCTGGAAGTGGTGCTGTGGCTCAAGTGGTAGAGGGCTAGCCTTGAGCTGAAGAGCTGAGGGATAGCGCCCAGGCCCAGAGTTCAGGCCCCATGCCCGGACCCAAAAATAAATAAATAAATAAATAAAAGACAAGAGTGAATTATATACATAGGATTGGGAAGTATAGTTTAGTGTGGTAGCTCATGCCTAGAATCACAGATCTTCAAGATCAGAAATTGAGAGGATTGCAATTGGAAGCCAGCCTAGCCAAAGTTAGTGAGACCTAGTCTCACATCTGAGGCTTGAACTCAGGGCCTCCCAGTCTTACTTGGCTTTTTTGTTCATAGCTAGCACTCTACCACTTGAGCCATTCCTTTAACTCCTTGTCGTCTTTTTTTTTTTAATGCTAGTACTAGAGTTTGAACTCAGAACCTCATACTTATTTGGATTGCTTGCTCACTGGTACTCTATCCCCCGAGCCACTCTTCTAGCACAGCTTTTTGCTAGTTATTTTGGAGATGGAGTCTTTCAGACTATTCTTCCTGGGCTGGCTTCAAAGTGCCATTCTAAAGTCTCAGCCTCCTGAGTAGCTAGGATTATAGGTGTGGGCTACCAGGCTGCTAGCTAAAGTTTTTTTTCTCTTCCTTCCTTCCTTCCTTCCTTCCTTCCTTCCTTCCTTCCTTCCTTCCTTCCTTCCTTCCTTCCTTCCTTCCTTCCCCCCCTCTTTCTTCTTTTCTTTTCTTTCCTCGGTCATGGGGCTTGAACTCTGGGCCTGGGCGCTGTCCCTCAGCTCTTCAGCTCAGGGCAAGCGTTCTACCACTTGAGCCACAGCACCTTCTAGTTTTCTGATGGCTAATTGGACACGAGTCCCACAGCCAGGTGTCGGTGGCTCACACCTGTAATCCTAGATACTCAGGAGGCTGAGATTTGAGGATTGTGGTTCAAAGCCAGCCCAGGCAGGAAAGTCCATGAGACTCTTATCTCCAATAAACCACCAGAAAGAAAAAAAAAACAGAA